TAGTAGTAGTAGTAGTAGTAGTAGTAGTAGTAGTAGTAGTAGTAGTAGTATAGGTAGTGGTAGTAGTAGTAGCAAAAATAGTAATAGTAGTAGTAGTCGTAATCGTGGCACTGGTACTGGTACTACTCGTAACAGTATTAGTAGTAGTAGCAGTAGTAGTAGTAGCAGCAGCAGTAGTAGTAGTAGTAGTGTAGTAGTAGAGTAGTAGTAGTAGTAGTAGTAGTAGTAGTAGTAGTAGTAGTAGTAGTAGTATGCGAAAGCGACGTGTCGGCTCGAGAACACCGCTTGACTTTTCGCCACACAGTCGAGGCTGTCAGGCTTCGTGCGCTTTGCACCTTGAGCCAAAAAAACCAAAAGGCGGGCTCTTTCAGCCTAGCCTCAACGTACCTAACACCTGGGAAGAGCAGGCACTTAGGAGAACTCCTGTTTCACATTCGCCCTCCTGCCTGCTTTTCCCACCATCACGTCCCGCGTCACTCGGACCGCTGGGATTCCTGCCACTCGGGCACCTTCAGTTCCTGGCCGCTCCGAGGCTCTTTTCTGCGTACGCGTCTGATGCTACTGCTGCCTGGAAATCGCAAGCGAACTGCTTCACGTTACTGACCCATTCTTGGAATCCTATGGCTAGCGGATCTTCCTGACCTAATGTCAAATGAAGTCCAATCTCATGGTTTCCCCGGCTAGCAGTGGTCCAGTTCATGGAGCCGATAATGAGCTCCAGTTGGTCACCTTTCTTGACCATTAGGGTCTTTCCATGCAATGCTCCACAGAAGTTGTAACGCGTCCGCCCTGCTGCCGCATAGTGCGGTCCCAGGCTTTCCCCATTTGCAATGAAGATCTTCAAGCCTTGGGACCTTGCCTGGTGCACCAACCTTTTCTGCTCTGTGGTTCGTCCGGTCTGCGACTTATCAACATACACCTCGACGTCGCATCCTCTATCTTGCGCTACTTTTAGCGCTCCGAACAACTCCGGCCGGTCGATGGCGTACGCCGTGAGCCGAACCATGACTTCCTTCTTGGCGCTCTCGGCCGCACAAGAGGTCAGCACTTGCACTGCGCATTCTTGCGCCTCGGTAGCACTTCGCAGCAGCTCGATTGTTCGGATTGGTCCTGCGCCTATCGGCTTCTCTGGCACCACCGAACGGTCATCAGTCCGCGCCCTCGACTGGGCCGCTGGATCTTTGGTGGTCTTTTCTTTCCCGACCGGGCTCATCGAAGGAGTTTCAA